GCTCATGAAACCTGATTAGTCTTGTTTTTAAACTGATTAGGACTTGAGAACTGATTCTTCCCTTTAGAAAGGTGAATTTCAGAATGAGAATATACTATAAAGTAGTTTTAATTGGTTAGGAAATTTATAATGTTTTTCAAGGACAGTATTAGATGTGCTGAATCCTAATCACACCTGGTTTTACTGTGTTAGCCATTCCACCTCAAGTTTAGGAGTGGAGAAAAGACAGAAAGAGGATAGTGAGGGCTTAACCACATGGGCTGTGTTCACTCTTGAATGCCTGGGGAGTTGTTTGCTACCGTAGAAGACATCATTTTTCTTTGCCTAAGACATTAAAGGACAGAATTATTGCCACATTTGCTTTCTGTCACGGAGCTAATATAAAATCAAGATTCATTCTTTTCACTTCTCAGAGTCAAATCTGCCACTTTAGTATTCCACTGCATCTTTTTTTTTTTTAAGTTTGGAGGATAGGCATGTTGGAAGGAAGGCTATTGGACAAAAAACTGGATTGGAAATTTCATCTGGAGACCATTTAGCATTTTAGGATGTAAAGTAATTCATGACTAAGTCTCTCATAGTACAGGAGAAAGAGTTTGGAATAAATATTTTGGCTCTGAATGGTGACCTGGTTGCTCTGAATTTAACTACAGTAGAAGGAAGTACATCAGCTAAAGCAGTTGCTTAGCTTGCAGGCTGAAAAATCCTCCCAAGTCACAATACATGAATTAATTTTAAGCCAATAGAGCAATATATAATTGTATATTGTATAATCTAATATAGTCATCTTAAATATAGAACTTTAGCGATTAGAGTACATTTTTAAGGAGTTGTGTGAAGAATTTATTCATATTCTTTTATGTGAATTGATTATGAAAAAGTATATAGTTCTGATAAAATTTCAAATCTTCCTCATTGGGAAATTTGAAAAGATTTGAACACCTCCCTGTGAATATTTCAACTAGCCTGCTACAGTATTTTCAGCTGTCTTCAGTTCCTTATAGAACAAGACAGAGAATTATGTAAATATAAAAAAAATTACTTGCAGATCACCTCTCATCGTGGACTCAGCAGCATCTTTTGTTCTCTCTGTCAAAGCCTCAGTTAATATTAAGTTTCCACATATGCCAGCAGCTTTTCAGTTTCTAATTCCCAACAAAACCTTTGCTTGCTGGGTTTGATCTCCTAAGAAAAAGTGAAAACAGTACTTATCTCTTTAGGATTCTGATGTAATCAGACTAGACTGTTTCGTTGTTGAATTCTGTGGCATTTTCTAGGATCAAGTATGCTTCATGTGACTTGTACTTCCTTATATCTGAATGGCATAATTTTTGAGCCTGCTATTACTGTGCAGAAACCAGAATCAATTGAAAAAGTAAGAGTCCAATTCATGAAATTCATTTAAATTTATTTAAATTTCATGAATACTGCCCACTAATTTTCATTACTTGCTCCTACCTTAGGACCTTTATGTTTGCAACTCCCCTCACCAGGAGCACTGCATTTCTAGATCTTACCTGACTGGATGCTTTCCTATTCAGGTCTCCATCCAGAGGTCACATACTCAGGGAGGTCTTCTTGGCTGTTCTAACCTAAAGCAGCCCCTTCCTATGTTGTCACTTCACCATTTTATTTTCTTCAAAGTCCTTGTTGTTTTCCAAAATTATCCTGTTCTATTATTATCATCATTAATTACCAGGATTACCATTATTATTCTAACAACAAGAGTACACAAATTGAGTTTTTCCTACATGCCTTATGCAAATCATTGTGTTTTATGCAACATTTTTGTAATGACAACTAACATTCATTGAATACTTACTACTCACCAAGCACTAGGCTAAGCATTTATTGTACTAAGCCAGGTCAGTGTCATCTCTTGCTTGGACTGCTGCAGTGGCTTCCTAACTGGCCACCCTTTTTTCATCTTAGCCTCTTTACAGTTCATTGCTTACATAGCAGCTAGTCATTCTTCTAAAACATAAGTCAGGTACATCGTGATCAGCTTTCAGCATCGTTCATGTTTTTGGCCGTCCTCCGGTCCTCCCAGTGGCTTACAAGCTCCTATGTCACCTGGCCTCCCACCACCTCCTTGCTGTATCTCTAACCTCTCCTTGCCATTTTCCCCTCTGGCCATCCTTTGCTCAATTACCACCACTCCCCTGGTATCATTTCTCCCTTCACTTAGGTTTCTGCTGAAATGTCACCTTCTCATAGAGGCCTTTCCCCGCTCACTTATGCCTCATTTCTCTTCACTCTGCATCATATTACTCATTTGTCTGTCTTCAGTAAATACCTGTTGAGTGTTTATTAAATACTAGGTCCTGTTCTCAACACTGGGTATGTGAAGTCAGTGCAATGGGCAGAATCCCTGACGGCATGGAGATATGGGGTAGGCATAAAATAGACTCAATAAATAGGAAGCACATAAGGTCACTTTGGGAAAGCTAAAGCAAACGAAAGGCTCAGGTTGATGAGACAGGAAAGGGAGAGTTAAGTTTACAGTAGGGCAGTTGGAGGAGGCCTAGGGGAGACAATGGACATTTTGCAAAGTCCTGAAGAAAGTGAGGGAGCGAGCGATGTGAATACATGGAAGTGTGTTCTGGATGGAAGGAACATTGAGTTTGAAGGCTCTGAAGGGAGAGCATGTCTAAAATACTCAAGGAGCAGAAGGGGAGGCTGTAGCTGGAGGATAGGAGCCAGTCGGGGAGGGAGGTGTGGCTAGAGAAATGACAGGGGTGCCAGATAATAGCACCCAGCGCACCCCACCTCTCTGTTTGGGAGATTTTGAACAGAGGAGCCTCCTGAGCTGACATGTCTGGCCCTGAGCTGACATGTCTGGCCCTTTTGTGGAAAATAGAGTTTCGGGGAGCAAGGTTTGAAATAAAGGGTCCAGTTAGAAGATCCTGAAAAGATTGGAGGGGGTAGGGTCAGGTCAGGATGGCAGAGTAGAGATAGTGAGACCTAATTGTGGTCTAGATATATTTTGAGGGTCAGTCCTATATGTTTACTAAGAAATTGAGAAATAGAGCAATTAAGGATGCCTCATGCCAAGATGTTAAATCAGACCACTGGAAGGATGTAGATGCCAGTACCGAGATAGGGAGGCAGTAAAGGGCAGATCTAAAGTGGAAAGAAGGTCATGAGCAGGCCTTCAGTCAGCATTCTGGAGCTCTTGTGGGCATGAGAAAAGGCTGCTCCTGTAGACTGATTCAGTAGGCACTGTCAGAGTGAACTGGATTTCAGGCCCCATTCCTTCCCTTGGCAGGGCCTCTCTCTGCACTGTTGTAGGCAATGGCATTAGTCAGGGACTTTGCTCTGGGCCATGGTAAGTTTGTAGCCATTGAGATGCTGGATGGGGCTGCTGGGTTCAGGGAGGCAGAGAGACTGCAGAGGTAAGGCTGTGTCATGAGACCACACCTAGCTGTTTTATCTTTATATTTTTTATATATTTGTGTATGTGTTACATTGTATATTAGATATGCTTTATTTACTCATTCATTGTCTCCGCCATCACTGTGTAAGCTTGAGGTGATCCATGTCTGTGTTTACTACTCAGTTGTGTTATACCCAGACCCAGCTCAGTGCCTGGCACCTGAACACTGATTAACGTGGTTGGATTAATACCCTAATTGGGGGTACCACTGCTTTCTACTTGTCCTGTGGATTTCATGAAATTGAGTGCATGGCCTTAAGGTCTAATTGTCAGTTTGTCAGTCATTCCCATTTTCTGCTCAGTACTTCAAGTCCAAAGAGATTTTAAAACCCTCACCACTGAAAACCATTTGTTAAGTGATTACCAAAAGGAAACTTGAGTTCCAAGAGGCCATAATACTTAATCAAGATTGCCTTGCAGCCAAAAACACATGCTAAAATGATGGGGAAACTTGAAGGAAAATGATCCTGGTTCAGATAGCAAATTCCTTTCATGGTGACTTCTGAACTTTTGGCCTGTTCTTGAGGGGACTGTTAACACTTCGCTTTCATGTTTAGATTTTCTTGTTGGTGAGGGTTTACTTTTAACTTTACTCTGGTGCATTGAGGGTAAGAATTCCAATTTTATGAGAGGAGGTAAAGGGTGACTTGATTCAGCACTTCTGTTGCATTTATGCATTTAGACTTAAGACAGGGGAAGATAGATGCCTAAGACCTCTGCATTTTTATTTGGATTGGTCAGTAATGGCTTTGCACATGAGGTGAGGTTTGAAATGGCTCTGTGTTCTTTACTATTGTTGTATAATGACAGACCACTCCCAAATTCAAGTATTAAGGCTCATAAGACTATGGTTTAGATAAACTTGATGGGACCCCCTCATGAGTTGAGTAAGCAACTGCTTAACTTGGCTGGGCTCTCTCACATATCTGGTGCCTCATTCTGGTCTAGTATGGCCCTGGCTGGGATAACTGGGCTGCCATCCTGCAGTAGGCTAGACCAGACTAACTTACATGGCATGATTTCAAGAGCTAGACCAGAAATGCCCAAAACTTCTTGAGGCCTTAACCTGGACCTGGCACAGCATAACTTCTACCAAATTCCATTGGTCAGAACACAGTTGAAGAAATAGACTCAACTCATGATGGAGAAGCTGTACAGTCATATTGCAAGAGTGTAGTTAGAGACCATTAATTGGAGCTATCAGTCTAATAGATGGCTTGAAGGATAAGTAGGTAGGGTTTAGAAGGAGGACATGAAGTTACTGGTATGAACCTCCTCTGGTCTAAAGAAGAATGCACGTCAACTATCCTGCATCCTACCTCCCTAATGTCTGAGAAACACAAGAAGTATAAGCTTCTCTATTGGCTTGTAGGTTTTAATTAATCTCATTGGATATTAATTAATCTCATTGAAAGTATATCTTTCTGGAGAAGATTTCATAGAATATATATATACACACACACACTACACTGTTTTCCAAGATGCTTGGCATACAGCCATATTTCTGATAGTTATCTGGATCATTGGTGTTTTCACAAGTAATGATTGTCTCCTTCTCTTGTAGGATTATGCCCATGTGTTGACTTGTGTTACTGAAAGAGAAAAGTTTATTGTGCCCATCAAAGCTAGAGGCGCACGAGCCATCATAGACTTTCCAGACAAGCTGAGTTTCCCCACTTGCCCTGTCAAGTACAGCACTCAGAAGACCCTGCTGGTACGAAACATTGGCAACAAAGGTTCTGTGTTTCACATCAAAACTCATAGGTACGCATTCCTTCAGCTCTTGGTTTTGATCGATTCGAGCTAATCTAGTCCACACATGTAATTTCCCAGAATAGCAGTCAAGATGCAACTGCTTATTACAATCTTCAGTTCCAAGGATGGGAGACCTCCTTGACATGGGGCAGACTTCCTCTTCATCCCATGAGAAAACCAAAATTCAAGGTTACCTATTTGGGTATAAGTGGTTTTCTGAAATGCTGGATAAGAGACTGAGCAATAGAGAGATTGCATAACTTGCTCAAGAGTACACAGCTAGTAAGCGAAGTTGTTCAATGTTAATCTGATTATTTATTTGGTAGCTACAGTGTAGTAGACAGTGAGATAGTACAAATATGGCCCTCAAGGACCTCTCTTATAAGACAGGAAAGAACAGTTGTTATGGGACATGAAAATGCTGGCTGATGAGCAGGACCATAATAAGAATGGCCAGCCTGGGAAGACAGGAGACAGAAGGTCAAGTTCTTTTCTGTGGCTTTTTGAAAAATAGTGCAGATCCTGGGCTGGATCATGAATTCATTTTCATAAGGGCTTTATCTGTGGAATCCTTTGCTAGTTTAAGGATACATCTCTTCAGAAAGGATTAGCATTTACTTCTGCCTGGTTACCAAAGGTTAGACCACATACACTGCCCTCCTGGGAATTTCTTGGCTTAGGGTTTCCTGGACTGAGCATGCATGTCTGAACCTCAAACCTGTAGAACACACGTGTCCAATATTAATTCCCTAGAGTCCCTATTTCCCTCCCTTAGAACCAAGATAGACATTTTTCCTTGTGCTAATGTTTTGGTAGCCTTTGACGTTTCTCAGGTTTATATGAGGATTTTGTTGCCAGCCCCCCTCACTTCACCATCCCAAGACCTTGTCTCCTAGTTTAGCAGGGCTGTTAAAACCCAGGCTTCAAGGGCTCAGTTGCCTACTGCTCTGGTTCTTATTTTCCTGAGGATTTGAATCCTGTGGATTTGCCTTTTCTTTTTTTTTCACACGCTTAGCTGCACATTTACGTAAGTTATTTTTTTATCCAGACTTCCTAGGTATTTTCTGGTGGGATAGTTTTCATGTTACTTGGTCTGCTATGTTATAAGTAGCAGGGATGCCATAATGTAGGTTGAAGCACATTCCACAGGACGGAATTTGTGCTTATTCTTACATGTGTCCCAGGAGCATCACTATCTTTAAACCAGTTCATGTAGATTCAAGTTTCTGTCTGGTATCATTTGTTCCTGGCTGAAATCTACTTTAATATTTCTTGTAGCACAAATCTAGTGGATATTCTATCAGTTTTTGTCTACCTGAAGAAAAGCATATTGTCTTCATTTTTGAAAGGTTTTTTTCTCTATAGAATTGTGAATTCTGTATACATTTGATGAATATAGAATTATATATACATTTTTTAGTACTTGAAAGATGTCACTTTATTGGCTTTTGGCTTACATTTTTCTAATGAGATTTTAGAGATTTCTAGTTTTGTTCGTCTATAGGTAATTATATCTTTTTCTTGGGCTACCTTCAAGATTTCTGAAGATTGGTTTTTAGCAGTTTAAATGTGATGAATCTAGGTGTGGATTTTGTTTTTGGTTATTTTTTGTTTTAAGAATTTTATTTTTCTTTTATTTTGTTTTGATCTTAATCCTGCGTGATGTTCTCTGAGCTTCTTGGATCTTTCCTTATTTTTGGAAAATATCAGCTATTATCTCTCAAATACGTCTTTTGCTTTTGCTCCATCCTCTTTCATCATTTCTTCTGCTTGTAGGAATGCTCTGCCTGCCACAGGTGAACTCCTCAGCACACCTCTCATCTTAATTAGGAACAGGGCATTGCCCATTTTTGTTGGCCCTGCAATGTCAGCTCTCTAATGGGTTTGAGAAAAATTGTGATTTTGTGGTTTATCTGGCATTTTTCATTGTTAGGGTAGGAGAAACACTCTTTCAAGCTTTCTACCTTCTAGGTGGAAGCGGGACTCTGACCCACTTTAGATAAATCAGTCAGCAGAGGCAAAGGAAAAACTCTTGTCAATCAGTGTCTCCTCAGATTGTCAAAATACTTATAAAGCTTTTGTTTGCATTTTGTGGTGAGACTCATATTTTGATTGAAGGGAAGGGATCAAGTTGTTCAACTGGCTCACTGTCACTTAGAAAGAACCAATCTCTTTTCATTAAGAAAAAAGACCCTTCATAATCGCCATCCATAATACACGTTAAAAACTTCCTGTTACATTGGTATTGTTCCAGTGAAAGAGAGAATCCATGTAAGGTGGAAAAACAAACACAGGCAGCATATCTTCCTGAATTGTTTGGCTGAATCTTCAAAACTGCACATAAATGGCAATACATTCGTATAAAGTAAAACGAAATCACAGATTTAATAGTATGAAGTTGCAGGAAAAGATCTAAAACTTTTGTATCCATACAACTGAAAGTGAATCATAATGTGGAAACACTTCTAAGGTAAAATGGTGAGCTAACTCAAGGACTAGCCAGGAATCATGATAACATTAGAAACTCTAGTCCCACATTTTAATTTTATAGATGAAAGAAGTAAGGTCTGAGAAGGGAAATGACTCATTCAAGTTCTCCCAATAAGTTAATAATAAAACTTGGATTGAAAACAAACATGGGCCAGTTCTGGCCTTGTTTACCTTAAAAATCCATTCCTTGCCCTTTTAGACTTTGCTCAGCATCAGTGTTGGGCTGTGTTAGCCTCGCTAGCCTGTGGACCTGCTGGGCTCCAGCTGTGTTTGTCCAGGGGGGTGGGAACTAGAAGGAGGTTGGAGAGTGTGAAGAAGTCAGAGTTTTTCTCTTTCTCCCTTTCCGACTTCAGTAGAGTCCCCAGCAAGCAGCTGCATCTCTACCGTTCTAGCTCCTGTCAGACAGACCTGCCATGGTTCCAGCTTCCACCTGCTCCCCAGGATCTTCTAATACTTCCTCCTCTCCTTTTGTCTCTAGCCCAGTGATGGAAGTGGCTTACTGCTGTTACCAATCCCTGAGCTAGTTTACCATCTTAAGTTGGGCTTTTCATAGCTTTCATCTTCTATATAATCAAATCTTTCAGTTGAATTTCCTGTTCATTTTTGTTTTCCTGTGTAGGTTCTGCACCAAATGGTACTTTTACGTTCTTTCCTCTAAATGTGTGTCTTCCAACCATGATGTCGATTCTGTGAGTTACTTCTAAATCCTTCCAATAAATCCCTTTCTGTCTAAGTTCGCCAGAATTGGTTTCTGAAGAATGCAGCTGATTTTGTGGTCACATTGTATTAAATCCGAATGTCTGGGGAGATCCCCTAATGACTATCTATTCTAAAAAATGCATAGGTGATTATGTTGCCCAGGCAGGACTGAGGACCCCTCTTTCATTGACAACATGATTGTCAATAGACATAGTGGATCAGTAATAGTTTGGGAAGTCAAAAAGTCTTGCTTCTTTTATGATCATTATACAGTTAGAAATATCTCTTAGGAAATTGTTTAAAAAAAGCAAATCATATTATTTTCATTGAAATAATGGCTTAATTAATGATTAAGTTTATAAATAGGTTCATATAAATAACAAAAAATAAAACTCTTTATGTGTCTGTTGCTACCATTAGAATATGAGCTTCTCAAATGCAAGGATTTTATCTCTTTTCATTTGTATGTCCCCAGTATCTAGCAAAGTGTCTAGAATAAATAAGTGCTCAATAAATGTTTATAGGATGCCTAACCAACAGTATATCACAACAGCAGAGCTACAACTATAAACCTCTATAATAAATTTAAAATAAAAAACATGCTCCAAGTACTATAAAAGAGGCATAATATTTTTTTACACTATAAAAGGAGCCTCAATGTGCTGTAAAATATACAGAGAACACAAACAATAAGTTTTCAACTTTATTACAGATTTGACCTAAAACTCTTGTAGGTACCAGAATAACTTTGACTATTAAAGTAGGTTTAATTTTGAAAGGTGAAATAGAAAGAATGAAGAAGCAATTTTAAAATCTAAAATCTCAATTTAGGAATCAATTAATAAGAAAGATTCTCTAAAGGAAAAAAATACTAATTTCATATTCATTGTTTAATATAATACAACCAATATTTAGCCTTCTGCTAAAATATTGAATCATTTGGATGGGATATTTTAGTTCTTATGAGCAGTTCATAGTGAATTGAACAAAAACTCAAAATCTTTCTCATGGCTCATGATTTTTCACAAACCCGAATTCCCTCCCTGATCAAGTATGCAGTATTAATGAGGATGTCAAAACCAGACATTCTGGTAGACAGCCAGCCTTATACCCTGGAGGAACAGCACCTTTTACCTCTTTGTAAGATCATTTTCTGGTACTTGATATTCTCTAGCCTTTTCTGTCTGTCTGCCTTTAGTAAAATGAAGTACAGAATCAAATTATAGACAATGTTTAAGCACCAGAACTTAACACACTCTCTCCAATTAATGTCTGATTTATTGAGGAAGCTTAGGCAGCTCTAAGTAGCAGTGACTCTCCCAGGTGACTTTCTAACCACTGAAGAAGTTTAGTGTAATATAAGCCCAACAATTAGCACAAAAAGGAAGAAACTGTTACCACTCTTTAGAATTAGGATTTTTAGAGGTCCTAAGAAGAATCGCTTTGTCCATAGAAAATTAACTTAGGTTCTGTAATGTGATACTAGTTCATTCCCAAACTGTTATTTTGCTACTGAGAAATGTCTGAAAAGAAAATGAAAACACAGTCTGGGAAGAAAAATATTAGGAATGAGGGAAGCAGAGTTAGAAGAAAATACTACAGTGTTTTTCTCAAAGCCAGGAAGCTGGGGCCAGTTCTTGATTCTTTCTGAGCCTTTAAGAAAGGAAAAAACTTTAAAGACAGTAAGATTCGCCTGCATCTCCTATCAAGTAGAAATTCTTGAGATACCAGAAGTCTGCTCCTTCTGTATTCCCCCCAAATGGTAGAAAGATTAAGTAAAAAATAGATATATTTTTAATTTCCCTTTAAAAGTTGATTATAATTCAATTCAACATGTTTTGAGAGGCTCTTATGAGTAAATAGCTGTGCATGGGCTGGTGAGAGACACAAAGATAAATCTAATCAGGTGGTTTCCACATTCAGGGATAGTTTGGGGAGATAGAGAGAACTTGAACTTGAAGGCAGGCTTCCATCCCTGCTCTACCACTCACTAGTTGGGTAGCTTTGGGCCGGTTGCATGTGCTTTTAGAGCAAACATTTCTCATATCTAAAATGCAAATAACAGGACCTACTTAAGGTTTTTGAGGATTAAAAGAATTGACATATATGAAATGCCTACTGTAGTGTCCAGCTCTGGAGTAGAGTACATGCTCTTGAAATTTTGCTTTCTCTTTCCTTTCAAAAGTCTCTAGCTATTGAGAGAGACAGGCATGAAAACTTATTACAGTACAAAGTAAAAAGTAAAAATAAAGTTACAGCTTCCCCTGAGAGGAAGGAGACTTTATTAATAGGAGGGAGAATCTGGAAAGATTCAATTTAAGAGGTAACTCTGAGTCTGATAGGTGACTTTGGAAGGAGTGTGATGGGGAAAACAGTGAATGTTCCCATAAAATTCAAGCAGTTCTGAAATGTGAATGTAGGGGGCACTGTCTGGCTGGAAGGAAGAGGAGCTGCTGTGCTGGGAGGGTTATGGGTGAAGAGACTAAAGCCCTCCCATCCTGTCCCCAGCCTGATGTGAAATGTGACAGGTATACAGGACGTTTGGACAGATGTATCTGTTTAATGAGAAAGCCAAAACTCATTGGAAGCAGATTACTTGGGACTTTAAATGTCTAGAACTTTGAACTTTATTACATAAATTATGGGGGCCACTGAAGTTGTTTGAACAAGGTGTTATGTCCTCTGTTTTTCACGATATCTCTGGAGCAGAGTGAAGGATTGAAAGGACAATGACAAACACCATCTGAATTCTGAAGATCATCCTCTGTCTCTTTACATCTAGGGGCTGCCAGTGAGGGAGATAACAGCAGCAATAACAAAAATAATGACAAACATCTGTTTAGCTCTTCCTATGTGCCAGACTTATTTTAAGCCCTTTACCTATGTCAGCTCCTTTAATTCTCACTACAATCCTATGAAATAGGTGCTGTCATTACCTCATTTTGCAGATGAGGAGACTGAAGGTTGAGTAACTTACTCAAACTCATGACTGATCTTGGTTTTGAACTCATTCAGTTGACTCCAGGCTAGTAACTGCTACCTTATGGTGCCCCTACAGCAGTGCCTGGAGTTCATCAGAGGGTTGGTGCTGAAGGTACAGGAAATGGACAGACAAAGGGATGGGAAAGTAGTGAAAGAAAAGGGCAGTCCAAGTAGAGAGCACCAGAGAAAGTTAACAATTGTTCGTGGTAGGAAGCACTTGAGATCCTGCAATGATAATCTCAGGTACCACCAAGTGCTACCCAGACTGTAAGCTCCATACCCTCAAAGAAGAAAGGTTAGGTTTTCTGAAATTAAGTTCATTATCTAAGGGAAGATTTTAAGGAATGAAGACTCTAAAAATGCTTGCATTGAAGTAAATAATCAGAAACAGCTTAGCCTGCCAGATACATTGTCCAGCACATTACTTTGAAAAACAAGCAATTTAAAGAAGTGAAATGGACCATGGAAAGAATTAAATGGACTGGGTTTCCTGTTTAAGAGGAAGAGCTCTGAAAGTTATTTAAGGTACATCAGGATCAGATCCACCTTCTCTCTCACTGCTCCTTTCCAGGGCAATTAAACTCAATTATTTCCTGTTCCCAGATCTACCCTACCTCCTCGTAAGGTCTCCTTGCCTAAATTCTATTTTCAAGAGACAGATGTCCCCTTTCCAAAATCTCTCCACCCTTTTCCAGCTTACTCTCACCCAGCAGGCTGACCTATTTAAGAGGTCAGTAGGCTCCTATGCCTTTGGCTTTTGATTGGGGTCAGTCAGTGGGAGCCCCGGCAGGCAATCAGACAAAGGATATGAAGTCAAAACACTTTTCACTCTCGAGTCTTATGTGTGAGGCCCCCTGGAATGACTGTAACTCGTGACTGAAGCCCTTGGAGCCTTCTCTTAGGCCATTGGTAGGTTTCAAGACCACCCCTCCTCCTTGGCTCTTTGGGTATTTGTGCTCTCTGGTAAGTGTTCTGCTGTTAATAGCCCTCCGTGATGGCATTGTGTCTTGTAGTTTCCGATGTCCCTTCACCCTTTTATTATAAATAGACCCTTTGTTAAACTGCACTCATCTCATCCTCATGCAATTGTGTGAGCACTTTCCTTTTGAGACTTTGATATGGTTTTTCCCTTGTAAAAACCTTCTCTTCTCTGAACTCTTCTCAAAACTTGGTTTTTGTCTCTTTGAAGGTGCTGTTCTTTTGCAAATTATAGTATCTGCATACGTGTTATAAGTCCATCCTTCACTGGAATCACTCAGTGAATGTTCAAAGAATGGCTAAACAGCAAGGATACAAACAAGACTATTATGCACCATTTAAGTTTTTCTTACATTTGTTATTCTATATCTGTCATTTTAATATTAATATACAGTTTTTTCACATTAAGGAGAAAGTATAATTCTGAATCACTGAATTGTGGTGTAGGGTGTGCTCTGTCTGCAGACCTGGAACTCATGTCTCCTCTCCCCTTCCCCTCACACTAGTCAGCAGTGTGTTCTGATGGTGTTTGTCTCCATGTGTGTTGCAGGCCCTTCTCTGTAGAGCCATCTGTTGGAACTCTTAATGTAGGAGAGTCCATGCAACTGGAAGTGGATTTTGAACCACAGACTGTGGGCAATCACAGTGAAAGACTTATTGTGCATTACGACACAGGTATGCATTATTCTTTGGTAAAAGTTCTACATGTTATGAAAAGTTGGATGAAAAACATGATTAAGGAAAACAGGAAATGGTTATTTTGAATGCGTTAGATTAAAGCTAAGACCCACATGGTAAAGAACTAAACAGTAAACGCCTCCAGCAGAAATAATGTTGAGCCACATATAAATCCCACCTACCAGTTTCTCCATTGCTTGAAAGCCTGAGAAATACAGGGCTCAGAAGGAAGGGAAGGAACCAGTTACCCAGAAGTTACACTGGTAGACTGAGGTTATTTATATGTAAATGTAAACTTGAAGATAACTTAATATTCCTTGGGCTTTCAGTTTACTGCTGCCTTTGTCTAACATTTAAAAACTATAAACTCCAGTTCAAAATGTTCTTCTGTGTGCCCTCTAGTCTGTGTAAGATCTGGTTATTTAATCCTTAGAATATGCAAATGTCTTACTTAACATCTTACTTAAATCTGGGGCTTTGTTGCTGCTAGCATTTTCTTAAAGGCCTTGCCCTGCATAATAATGAATATTCACTTACTGTTTTTGCAGCTATTTGGTCTGTGGTCATGTAGATTGCATGTACATTATGCCAGTCTCCAAAGTTGGTTTGCAAATTAATATATGTTATTTTGTTGTTGTTGTTCAGTTGCTAAGTTGCATCTGACTCTTTTGTGACCCCATGGACTGTAGCCCACCAGGCTCCTCTGTCCTACTATTTATTGTTTTGTGATTTTTCTCACTTTTTCTCATTTCTTCTTTACCCATTTATGTTGATTGACCTAGATTGTCTTAATCAGAAGGGCATTGTAGGGAGAAAACAGTGCACAGTCAGGGAAAAATCAGCAAATAACATCTGGGTCACAGTTCAGAATTGCTGGCTTTGTGGATGTGTGTCTGAGCAGGACCAATCAAGCCCTTGCTTGAGGACCTGTGGGTAAGTGGTCCTGGCTCCACAAAGCCCAGCATAACAGCAACTAATCATCAGTGGCTCAGTCTGTGTTTATCTTTTTGTGTGTCCACAATTCGCTGGCTGCTGGCAAGACAGATTTAGCCTGGACTTAGCTTAAGGAGAAGGGGGTAGTTTCAGCCCTGGCAACCCAACGGTGGAAGATTAAAAGCAGAGTACATAAACCATCATGGATGTCAGTTTTTCAAAGTAGTGCCGTTTTAGCCTCCCACTGACAAAGCCTGGGCGTTCCATTTGCTTGCCACCCTTGCCTGCCCGCAGTGTTGTATTGTTCATTTTAGGCATACTGGATATATGAAGTGATGTCTTCTAGTGATTTTAGTTTTTATTTCTCTAATGATTAATGATGTTGGGCACCTTTTCATGTTCTTGCTGGCCTTTAATTTATCTTTTAAAATTAAGTTTCAAGTCTTTTGCTCATTTTTTTTTTACTGTTTTTCGTTTTATCATTAATTTGTAAGAGTACTTTACAACTTGTTATTCTGAATACTAGTCATCTGTCAAGTGTATGTATTGCTAATCTTCTGTTCCATTCTGTAGATTGCCTTTTTATTTCCCTAATGATATTTCTTGACAAGATGACATTTTTAATTTTGATGAAATCTCTACTATAATTTTTTTTTCTTTTAAGACCAATGCTCTTTGCCTTCTTGCCAAGAAATCACTGCCTTTTCCAGGATCATGAATATGTTCTCTTTTGTCCACTTTTATAAGGGTAGTAGTTTTAGCTGCTTTGTTTAAATTAATGATTTATCTTTTATTTCATTTTTGAATATGTGTCAGGTGCAGACCATGCTTCTTTATTTTTACCCTGTGGGTTATTAGCTGATCTCCTTTCTATTATTCTGGAATTCCAACTACTTACTATATTATTCTATTATTTGTTCTACTATTTGTCTATTATTTAGTCCTTTTAACCTGTATTTTATGTTTCCCATTTTTTTTTTGCAGACTTCTCTGAAGGCTTCCTATGCATTGTCCCATTCAGTAATTTCTTCTTCAGTGAATACTCATCTGCTGAGTTTTAATTTTTCAATTATTTATAATTATTTTAATTTCTGAAAGTTTATTTGGTTCTGTCAAATCTGATTGCTCTCTACTCTTATTTTTCATATTTTCCTTTTATTTCTTTAATATAGTAAATATAGTTATATTTTATATTTGGTAATTCAGACATACTAAGTCTGCTCATCTATTTATTTGTTTATTTTGTTGTTTGCTGTTTCTTATGGTTTTCTATCATGGTATCCGGTAGAGGAGGAAAAATGTCTTTTTTCCTCTATCCATTTTGTTTTTTAAGATGTGGCCCCTGTAACAAAGGACAGATTAACAAGAGAAGAACATAAAAATGTATTTAATAAAAGTTTTATGTGGCATGTGAGCAGCTGGTAAAGAATTCATCTGCAATGCGGGAGACCTGGGTTCGGTCCTTGGTTTGGGAAGACCCCCTGGAGAAGGCAAAGGCCGCCACTCCAGTGTTCTGGCCTAGAGAGCCCCATGGACGGCATATGTATGGTCCATGGGGTTGCAAAGAGTTGGACACGACTGAACAACTTTCTCTTGCAACTTACTTGAGCCTTCGTAAGAAATGATCTGAAGAAGTAGTAAAATCTGAGTTCTTCATGCTAGGTTCGATGAAGGGCAGAAGGTTGTGGGAAAATGTGATAGGACCAAACAGTGTTTGAGCTAAGCATAGTAAATTGAGGGAAACAGTAAGGCCTGTTAATTCAGATTCCTCTTGGTATCCTTCTGTATTTGAAGGTAAACATACTTCTTTCTACCTGGTGTTGAAACGTACCTCTCAAATAGAGGATCTTATTACCTGCTTCAGGGGAGGTTAACAAAGTCCCTCTTCCACCTGCCATTTCGTATATTCCTTCAGTTTGATATATTTAATATGTCAAGGTGCCATGTTTTGTGGTAGTATGTTATAGATCCCATCATATCTTATGCCTCTTTGTGTTTTATAATTTTTGGGTTTAGCATCGTCACTTTGGGCAGGTCCTGGACTTTATGTCCTGTCCTAGGCATCCAATGTAATAGTTAACACAGAGGTTCAAAGGATAACAAAGGCCAGTAGGGCAAAAGACAGCCTTGGCACTAGATTATTTCCTGATAGTCTTCATTTTGCTTTAATGTCCTTATTTTCCTATCAGGTTAGTAATCAGTTTTAAAGTAGTTTGAAAAATGTTTTATTGAGTATTTTAGTTACTTCAATTTCTAGTTTAATATGCTGCTTAAAACTGACTCTAATATATGTCTTTTTTCACCTTATGCAGCTGTATTTATGCAGTAGTTAGACTGCCCATACATCATCAGTAGAATCAAAACTTGAGAGAAGACAGTGAGAATCCAACCTAGTCCCTAGCTTTGTTTGCACATGGAAAACTGACATCCTAGGCAGTGAAGAGGCTTGCCTGTAGCTCATATAAGTAGTCAGGAGCACAGTTAGAACCCAGACTCAGACTCTCAGCTCTCACGAAGTGCTTTTTCCTCCGTAGTGGGTCATCTCTCTAATCTCTTATATTACTGCATACACAGTTTTACTCCCTTAACCTGTTGACTTTAAAATGCAGCTATCTGTACATTCTCCTAGCAGCCCTCAATCTGGATTTTACTTTTATGTAAGTATTTGGATTGACACACATACTTACATTTGTAGTCCCTTGCTAAAGAAAGTGAATATTTGTATATTAAAATTTAGTCATGCATAGAAAAGTTGAATTCCTACACTGAGGTTCTGGTGTCAGCTTTCATTTTTGAATAAAGTCATTTTCTAAAGATTGCAGACAGAGATAAACTGTCTTGTAGCATTTTCCTTACATGAAAAGAACTGCTGATAAGAATATGCTTTCATCTTTATTGTGGGTTATCAATGACCAGGACTTATAACCTTTCATTAGTGAAAAACAGGAATGACTACCTAAACACAATTAATCACAGAGCTTTTCCCAGCAGCCTTGATCACATTGGCTTGTCATCTCACTAAATAAGCATCTGATTGAACTTTCTGCAGCTGTTTGAAGTATGAATTGATTTGAGGAGGGAAATTTAGCATCATTTTTCCTTCATACTTCTTCAAACAATGTTCCAAGGAGAAACAGTGATACTCCTCAGCAGGAAGTACTCAGTCACTTTTCTAACAGTTGTGTTTATGCCCTTCCATTGCTGGTCCTCCACTGGATTTAATTATTGATTAAATACAGCTAGGACATGTTGTTTTCTTGACATCCAGAGCTTGAACCAGTGCTCTAGCAATTATGGCAGTCAAGTGTGAATTTTACCAACATCTAATATTTTACTCATTATCATTTTCCTGAATCATATCTCTCCCCTCCTTTTCTCCTGTGTATGCCCTTCCATAGTGAAATCAAGTTTGTTCAAGCAACTGATTGTACCCCAGGGATGATTTAGTTATATTTTTATTATAGCCAAAAACTAAGAAAGAACTGAAGTAACTGAAGGTTTTTGCAAACTGCAAACCTCCAGAAGAGATTAGGAATACAGTTTCTCAAGGTTACATTAATAACAGTGAAATAGAACAAAAACAAAGCTAAAACAAAACCAGAACAACTAGTAAATTAGTTCTATCATTTGATTAAAACTGAGAAGTGAAAATATTGACAATTAGGAGACAAATAGCTGGAGTAGGAAATGGCAACCCATTGCAGTATTCTTGCCTGGAAAATTCCATGGACAGAAGAGCCTGGAGGGCTATAGTCCATGGGGTTGCAAAGAGTCAGACAAAATTAAGCGTGCATGCACACATGCCCAGGAGACAAAGAAATAATTGCTTAACTTTCACACTTTTCAACTGGGTATTGAGAAACTTTATATAATCTAAGGGTTCAAAGAAATATCAGAATTCAGAATAGGCTTAAAAAAGACATAGGTTCTAAAATTTTGGTTACTTGAATAAGCATTAGGAGTAGGAGCATAGCAGTGTTTTTTTCTTTGATGCCTGGTGATGATGCTGTAACTTAGAGCTGACATTACCGGCATAAATAGGAGGCAGAGCTAATGCACTTACT